AAAAGATGAAGATGTGGGCAGACTTGGGAAGGCGACGGCAGGAGTTCAAAGTCGGCGATTTAGTGTTGGTGAAGCTCCAACCAACATCACTCCAATTCTTTAGGAACAAAGTACACAAAGGATTGGTGCGCAAGTATGAAGGACCCTTCCCAATTATTAGTATGGTGGGAAACGTCTCCTACAGGTTGCAGCTGTCGTCGTGGCTCAAAATTCATAATGTTTTTCATGTCAGCAACTTGAAAGCCTACCACTCAGATCCACAAGATGCTTCCCGATGTGTTCCAACTTGGCTATCCCCTACCAGAGCCTCCTACGAGAAGCGAGTTGAAACCATTCTAGTGGATCGCAAGATAAAGCTACCCAATGGAGCTGAGTAAACTGAGTACTTGGTGAAGTGTCGTAAGCTTCCACGAACTGAAACCAGTTGGGAGCCCGAAGATGCCCTACGACATGAAGAAGTAATCATCAACAACTACCAATAAGCGTCGACGAGAGTATCGACAGTTTAAGTGGGGGAGAATGTCACGAACGGTCATCGCGCACTCGCAATAACTTCATTCAACGAACTGTTTGTCGCTTTTGCATGCTTGAACAGAGACATGGCAACCTATTTTGCTTTGGTTTTGTGTGTTTTTGCTTGTAAAAATATATGTTTGAACAAGTTACAGCGCACAATGCGATCGGTCACCGCGTCGAGTTAAAATACCCCAAAATAGCTTCATTTTCGCATGCCACGGACTGTTTTCTGTAGCCCATTGCAACGCACGAAATGTCAACCATCTCAGCACCCTGGAACCCCCCGGGTGGCACAGGGCTAGATGAGGCTTCGATATATTGTCGGGCGTTGAATAATCTTCACAAGTTTGTACGTTTTCTTGATGGGAACTTGCCTTCGCGCCCAGCACCCAATGAGCAACTGTTTGTGGACTTACAACTGTTCGTTTAACCCTCTAAAGTCCTTGTTTTCCTCCTTTCTATTCTTTTTCTCATACATGCAAGGTGTTCGCTGAATTACTTATAAAGCTTCCCCCTTCACGAGACATCGAGACTTGTTCGTCACTTGTTCTTCGAACTAATCAATTTTCTCTTTTAAGTCCGATTACAAATTGGCTAATCTTTGCGGACACATATCGTAAGGGCGCGTCAAGACTTAGGAAATCCCAGCTAAGTCCGAGAAATTGACGCAATGGTGCATCGTAAGTTAAGCAACTTAAGCTAAGTTCGCGTCTTGGCCGTAATAGTACCTCACGACTTAGATAATTCCAGCTAAATATGTGACAATATAGATAACCATAAAAGACAATAGGAGTGATCTGCTTTCCACTTTTCAGTTTAATCGTGACAAACATAAACACACCAAGCTAAAAAGATACATGACGATACATGACACCACTTATAACTGAGATTCTATACTTGAAGCACCGATACAGTATAAAATTCACAGGAGAAAGCTAAATAATTTTCGTAAAGTAAAGGCATTGCTCTGCGTAGCCGTGCAACAAATTGCAATATTCAGAAGCCTTTGTTCCCAACCATTGGTCGTGAGAAAAATTATGCATTAAGTTTAGAAACATGCACATGTTCAATAAAGATCCAAACACTTGCTACAGAGTGTAATCTGATTGATGCTTAAAGGAACATTTTCCTACCTATCATAGCTACCAGCAAGTGCAACTGATCACTATATTACCTCATATCATGTCTCAATAATAAGCAACTACTTGAAATCATGATAATTGATCTTCGGATAGGATCCTCACATTGACTTGTTTCAAGTCACATCAAAAGGATGAACTTCGCTCGAATATTTCTCAGTTTAACATCCATATGTGATATTGCGGGAAGATAAATACATGCAACTTCAAAGAGATTAGCATTTCTGGATAACCTTAAAATAATTTATCATTTTATTGGCTGTTATTCCCTCATCAAACCAACTCAGTCACCAAATCACCAATGACTGGACATGGAAAAACAATTACTTTAAGTAGGCAATCTAAATATGAAGCTGAGAGTGAACATCCCATTCCCAGGTGCTAAAATAAGTGCAGACATGCATCCCATGCATGTTAGCCAAGGTCGAACAGCGAGAGCAAATATTACCACCCCATGTCAATTCATAATCTACATGGATTATGGACAAACACAGAGTAGCCAAACCAAAAATTTCTCTTCGTATTTATTTAGACCATCACAAGCTATCCTAATTCTTAAACGCTAAAAAACGTATCCTTAAGGTCGATCAACCTGATCAAGATAAAGACATCTTGATTAAGGGCATTGACATTTTTTTGAACTGGAAACACTCGACAGAATCCATGATCACGTTTGCATACACATCAAGATGAACACATCTTGATCAAGAAAATTGACATTTTGATCAAGATAAGCTTCGGACTGCACAAGACACTCTATAAACAATGTAGTGTGCACATACGTGTTGCATACACATGATCAAGAAGCTTGACATTTTCCCTTGGCGAAAAGATGTAGTCCATCTTCCCTGAATTAAAAGCCTTTAAGTACAAGAATCAAAGGAAAGACCCATGAAAGAGGTTTTAGATAGGTGGAAACATGGTTTAGAAATAGTAACTAGCAAAGACAGAGGTATCATACCTTCTCTTTCCCTGCCGAATCCCGCCCACATTGTTCCGACAAGCTCGGCGTAGCAACTCCAGCAACCACAGACGCCTCCCCTCTCACCAAGCCTGCTTTCTTGGATCTCTCCGAGCGCAGACTTTCTTGATCGCGGATTCTGACAGATTGCCAGAGATCAAGAATCAAGAACCGCCGAGACAGTCAAGATTAGGGTTCTTCCAAAAGAACCAAAGAAGAATGTGAACCCATCCGAAAGAATCACACAAGAACGGCCAAGAAATCGAATTCCGAGGAGGAAAGGGGGAGGGGACGAAGGATTAGGATCCGGGGGAAATCACCAGGAGCGGAGATCCCGCACTTGAAGCCGGCGAAGATCCGATCGACGCCATCCTTCGGATCGGAAACCATCTGGTGTACCATCGATCCCTCCACCTCCTCCCCACTCTCCCCGCGAGACGCGACCAAACAAACGACGGCTCTTCCGCTTCTTTAACCCTGACGAGCGAGCGCGGGAAAGTATCTCGACTTGGGATCCGCTGAAACCGAGTCGGATCAATAAGCCAATGGGCCGGCCATTATGCATCACGTGTGGGCCATGGTCCGTTGATCTAGTTCAGGATCTCCGTCCATCAAGATCAGCAATGGTGCAAGTACGAACCACCTAGTAAAAGCAGTGTTACCGCTGCCGATCTGTCTCATGGTGAGATCCAACTCGGTGGATTTCCTTCTTGTCCAGACCTGCATATGGTGGATGCATGTGTGCTGTACCTCCACAAAGATAATTGAGTACATACCAGCATGACGAGGACCGTATTCTATTCCGATCCCCTTCACGACGCAGATTAGAATATGTGCTTGTCCTCTTTTATCTTTCTTTTATCGAGATCATGCAATCCCAAACTTGGCATTAGTACAAACCACACATGTTAGAGATGATAAATCAACTCTTGTCGTACCGCATCTGAGAAGAAATGATCAAGCATCGGATGCAGGGGTGGTGGTGTTTCGTTTCATTTTACCTGACAGGGAGAGCTTCGCAGCAGTGTGTGGTTGCAGAGATTAATGGTGTTCGACATGGGGTGAGGGTGCGTGCATCTCTCTACAGTGTGGAGATAAGATGGAGCTCCCAAATGGAGGAAAAAGAAGCATGCAGTTGGTCAACTCCTGCACTGAGTTTGACAGCTACCCAGATTCAAAGAGTATCGAACGATCTGTGCCATTTTTGGCCTCAGGTAGAATCGTTGTTGGCTGGCTAGAAGCTTTCGGAAGTCTGCTGCAAGCACGCATTTCAGATTGGCTAATGGCTTTGCATGCTTTCCTACTTTCTTCCGTCCACGGATTGGCTGTGCAATTCTAGTCCACGAGAATCAGCTTGGTGCAGGGCTTTTAATTCCCAGTGAACCCATGAGAGAGGAAGGGGATGATGGAGTCCCCTAATTTTATCTCATATCAACAACGAGTTGAGCCTCGAATGGACTTCCAGAGACCAGATGTATGAATTATCCCATCGATAGGGACTCGAAACACTCACAAGAATCGGTACAGGGGATTGCAATTTCCATGAAATGGCACTTGCTGTCAGAAGTCAAACCATCCACCGGACTGTATTCCATGTAAAAGGAGCACACGTTTTTCTTGGGTGCTCATGTCTTCATCAGAGCTACATGAATGCCTGCGCCCACCGTCAGCCGATGCTGCCCCATCAATCATAGGAGGCATGCTTCACCTGCTGCGAGAAGCGGAGTTGCACAGCAAATGTAAAGAAATCACTGTTGGTCAGCTGGGTTTTGGTTGTAATCTGCAAGAGTCAGGACAGAGTGGATGGAGGCTGTCACTTCCAAAGCCCCGAGCGACGTCGGTGCAAGCTCACTGTGGCAAGCAGCAGCACCGGAAGAAAAAAATCTAAAGCGCTTTTATCTTTTGACATTAGAAGATGGGCAAGAATTATCCTGTGAAAAGTTCATGTTGATTTCCCTCGGAAAAGAAGTGAAATCATGGAGAAAACGCTGCAGAGCTTGCAATAATAGATGCAGACTTGAAGGCCTTCGGCTGTTGAAGTCATAAAGGAAATAGACAAGTTGTAGGGGATGGAACTAATGCTTAGATATTGTGCACGAACAGTCACCTACTGGACACACAGTACAGACTGGTTTCTTAGTCGAGCTTTGGTCAGTACAGAGTGAAAGGTGAATCCACCCTGCACCAACAGTCTAATGAACAGGGCGTGCAGATGCAGGCGGCATATGGTTTGGCTGCCTTCTGTGGAAGTAATAACACCCACTTTGGTATGATCAGATCAGTGCTGGTGAACGTCCTCCGGCGAGATTATCTCGTCTAAGAGATGCCTGTTTTTGCATCACAACAAATCATATCATGGTTCCCAAAGTTACAGACAGGGATGAGGTTGTCGTCCCAAAGGTCTTAAAGACGATAATTAAAATCACATCTGCCGAGCTACACAAAAGCAATCTACCTTTAATCAATCTCGACACACTTGGAACACAATTCTTCTGCAAAATGACACACGGAGAGAGTACCCTCCGGAACAGAAAGCATAGCCAAAAATTGCCTCACAGAAAGAGACAACAGCCGCGTGCCCTTGTCTTGTTCTTTTCACCTCGGAGAACAACCAGCAGTAAAAAGTGGACGGGCCCGCCTAACCGGGATGCTTGATTGATTCCAGCCAGCGGCGGAGAAGATTGGAAGACGGAGAAAGCAAAGCTTTTGAAGACATTCTCCCAACCCTTTCTTCTTTTGTTCTCCTCCTGGACTTGCTCCATCAGCCAGTTCAACAGCTTGAGCTTCATGCACAGAAAAGAATCACTCATGTTGGGTGGTGGGTTGCTGGGTCCATATCAACTGACTGCTTTAATCTTGACCCCTCTGACCCGGATGCATTCGCCTTGTATGATTGGTTGTGATTGAGCGGTCGTTTTCCCTTCTTTTGGAAGAACACTCGATGCTCGGCTCTGGAGAGGACCATCAGGAGAAAAAGCTGTGGTGGCTGATCTTCCCACAGTCATCCAAGGAACTGTTTCAGAGTAAGCAGTGAAGAGGCTGGCGACAGCTTCAATCTCAACTTGTCAAGGATGAGCCCGATGTGAAGAAGTTCCATGTTTAGCTTCAGGAACTCGGCTTACGTGCCGTGCCGGCACGGCACGATGGAAGGATCAAGGGAAGGAGTTGAATCTTTTATACACAGGTCTGGTCCTCAGTGACCAAGGAAATTAAACTGGAAACCAATGAGGTAATGTTCAGAGAGCTCAGTCAGAGAATAGACTGCAGAAATACAAGAAAAGAATAGAAGCCAAGCCAACCTAATGCTGTAACTCACACAAGATAAACAGTGATTAGTGTCGATTAGTAAGCCTAGGTCAGGAAAGTTAGGTCTAATAAAGTACCATACCATGAGCCACTAGACAACAGATGCAGGCAGATTGGTTGCCCACCATCTGAGTTCTAAAAGAAATGCATAAAAGAACTAAGCCCTCATCCTCCAAAAAGCTGCAACCATGTAGATGAAAGAAAAAAAAGTATAATTTTTTAAACTAAGAATTATTGGCCAAACCAAAGCCTAACTTGTGCTGATGAAAGGAACGTGTTGTCACTAACTTTCATGCGATATTGTCATGGCACACCAATAGCGCGATGATGAAATCATTAGTAGATTAAGACACATCCATCACCAAACCAGAAGAATCCAACTACTCAAAAAAGTCAGTGCCATTATTGAAGATCTCACACTACTAACCATATAACAGTCGAAACAAATAGAAAAAAGGAACAGTGTCCTCTTCAGTTCAAGCAAGAGGTTCTTGGAGTGTTTATTACCAATCAAATAACCTGAACACCGAAAACTTCAACAAAAAAACCTTCTTAAGAAACAATAAACCTTCCATTAGTGACTTGGAAATCCTGAAAAATGAGAAGAAATGTTCAAGGTTTCACATTTTACCTCAATTCTCTGATAGCACAAGGGAATGAAACCCAAAGATGACAGTATCGTTTCGTTTTCAAGAATAGAGAGAATATGAACAACCTGGAGGGTACATTTTGCATCTGCCGTCAATCTGAAACCCCGCGAAGCAGCCTGTCATCTTTCTCTTGTGATCATCACATAATTGCAGGAATAATTGTGTTCACATGATTTCCTGGTGAAACAAAACTAGCAGTGCTTTTCTCCACCATTAGATATATTCTTCTGCTTCTATCTCATTGCATTGGTAGAGCATGCGATTGTAAAGAATCCTCGATCGCATAGGTAACCCAGAAGCCCAGACATAAGGAAGGGAAAAAAGGCGATTAAAAAATGGAACTATCTCCTCTTTGTGTATGTTGCATGAGTACCATCCGGTGAGTTACGAAAACTACCCACCAAATTCACACTCTGCTTGATTACATCCAAGGCTCCTCCGATTGGAAATAAGCTCCCCATCCAAACCTACAAATAGAAATAACTACTTCATCTCCCGAGTATCTCCACCAACAGCGAAAATTCACAAGATCTTAACGAATGACGGCACATCATCCCTCGGCCCTACGAGAGACCGGTACAAGTATAACTTCTCCACTGCATCACCATCAAGCTCCTTATTTTGGTCCCCAAACACTTCCACCACTAAGCGAGGTAGCCTCTGAGCCACTTCCTTGCAACCCCTCAGGGACAACTTGCATGAGTTCATCCACAAGAACCTCATGTTGTAGTAATGGTGGATCCCAGAGAGCAGGCCTGCATCCCCGAAAGGGCTATCCCTGATCTCGAGCTTCTGCAGTTTGTGGCACCCTTCGAGAACATACCTCAAACTCAAGTCACTATTCCCAGCAAATGCCACAGAGAGAGTCCGAACCAACTTCCCATACTTTGCAATGTACTCGAAAACCTTGTCCGTTAGAAGGCCAGACACAGCAAGCCTAGTGAGCTTCTTGCAGTTCATGACAATAGCTCCAAAACCCTCATCCATAGGCTCCCCGGTGATGTGATCCGGACGGTGGCGGCCCATGATGCAAAGACGGAACACCACAAGGTCCTGGCAATTCTTGGACATGGTCACAACGGCAGCATTTGTCATTCGTTGGCAGAAGTACAGGATCGAGCGAAGCTTCTGACAGCCCTCTGAAATCGCCACAAGGCCAGCATCAGACACAGCACTCTCGGAATCCTCGGTGGCTTCAAAAGGGAACACTCTCAACTCACGGAGATGCTTGCACGTCTTGGCTGCGGCTCGTAGACCCTCATCGCCTACCGTGTCAAGAACCTGAGCAGATTTCAAAACAAATAAACAAACAGAACACAGTTGAATTGAGCTACATGGCATCTCAAAGGAAGGTATGGATACCCAGAAGGTCTGGAGGTTGTGGCATCGGAGGATGACAGGCTTGAGCTGCTCGGCTGTGGTCATGGCATAGCTTAGGTTGAGGGAGACGAGGCCGGCGCAGACCGGGTAGATGGCCGGGAGGTACTCGGGCGCCACCATTCGGAATCCCGAGAGGCAAACAAGCGACTTGGAAGCGACGAAGGATGACTCCAGCTCGGCCACGTCTAGCTCTGCCGCACCATCGGCGACAGGCACCGTCTCGAAGGAGCCACTGCCCAGGTGGGTGAGCTGCGGCGCTCGCACCATGAGGCAGCGCAGCTGGCCAACCGAGACATGCTGGTTCACCCGCAGCCTCCGGAGGGAGGGCGAGCGAGCAACCAGCGCCTCCAAGGCTGCAAAGTTGACCGGGCAATTAACGCATTCGAAGGAGAGCGACTCCAAACGGGTGTCCGTCTCCGGGAACCTCGAAATCCAATCCACCACCTCCTCGTCCTCGTCCTCCACATCGTTCTCTATCAGATCCAACACTCTCAGGTTCCTACAGACAACTCACGACCATCAATCTCCCATCGGCAAACAAGAAGAATTCCACACCTCCAATCTTCGTAATTGGAGGTCTGATTACAGTCAAGTAAGACAATCTATTAGGGGGTATGGTGTTTCCGATTAAGGCAATATATGTAATGTCTGGAGAGGGGGGAGAAAGCAAACCTGCAGAGCTCAGCGACGGCAGCGAGGCCGGGGGTGCCGAAGCCGTCACAGCATATGAGAGTGAGGTCGCGGAAGGAGGAGAAGGAGCGGGCAAGGAGGGCGAGGTCGGCGTCGGAGACGGTCATGCGCTTGAGGCAGACGCGCTCGAGCCAGGGGTAGGCGGCGGCCATGGCGGCCACCCAGGGGGAGAAGCGGGCGCCCCAGCCGACGGGGACGAGATTGAAGTCCGCGAAGCGGGGGCGGCCCTTGAGGACCAGCGCCCGGGCGCAGCGGAACCGGCCGAGGGCGCGGGCCGGGGACACCGCGTAGCAGTTGCCGATGAAAAGCTCAAGCCGGGTCCGCGCCTCGGCGCGGTACCAGGACCGGCACACCAGCGACGACGCGTTCCGGTCCCGGCGGCACGGCAGGAACTGCAGCACGTTCTCCAGGACGTTCTCAAGCACCTGGCCGGAGAAGGGAGGCGGCTGATCGACCCGCCCTCTGACGCACCGGTTCTTGAAGGGGGACGAGGCAGACGTCCCGCTCCCTCCTCCGCGGCTGCTGCTGCTGCTGCTGCCCCCCTGACCGGGAGACCACCTCCTCGTCTCTTCGTCCTTCTCCTCTCCATCACAGTCCTCCGTCATCCCCGCAGAAGAAGAAAGACAAAAGTCTTGTAGGATTCGGACGGTGGGAAGACAAACAATGAATGATGAGGATGAAATCTGAGGAGAATAGAAGCACAGAAGGAACAGAAAACAAAAGAAGAAAAGGTCTGAAGAGGAGGAGAAAAGAAAGAAAAAGGAAGGAGATAGGGAAGATGGAAGGGGGTAGGGGGAGGGGATGTGTGATTGGTGTGGGTTGGTCTATTTATTTTGTCTTGCTCACATCTCATGCTAAGGGATGATGAGTCTCAAGCTCAGACTCAGACTCAAGACTCCACACTACTGTCTGTGCCTGCAAGCGTTGGGATTCTCCATGCTCCTCTCACACAGTGCCATACCCCAAACAAACAAACAAAGGCAAGGAAAAATACTCTGAGTCACACAGTGACACTTTTCCTGCATGTGAGGTGCGTGTTATTTTACTGAGCAATGGCTTCTGCTTAGATTCATAAGCGATGGGGAGGGCGTCTGTCTTAACAGTGATCCACTTTGGATTTGTTTATCTGCAGACTGCCCAAAGCAGGAACCACTTGTTGTTTGGCTGCTTCTTGGATTTGCTGAGGGTTAAGCCTCCTGTCGAGGCATCGACTTCCTCTTGTTTAGTCTGAATCCAGGTCTGATTGGAATAACAAGCAAGAGTGGGTGGAGTATGGAGGAATAAATCTCAAGTCTGACTCACTTCTCTCTCTCTCTCTCTCTCTTTCTAGTCCTGCCGACCATTTTCTTTTTATCATCAGAAGCATTAATTGGGTAGACCTCTCTCTCTCTCTCTATTTTCTCTCTTGAATCTTCTTCTAATCTAAACCCATCTCCTTGTCTTCAATCTGTCATTTACAAGTAATAGGCACCATGAAGAGGACAAATCTTCTTATTATTGGTTTTTGGAAGAATATATCTTCCCCACACCAGCTTTATTGTCATTTTCAATGATCTTGAGTTGTCCTATGTATGACTTATTCCAATATGAAACCTTTTCCTCTGTTTTCTTTTGATTGGGGAATGGTGAATATAAAAATAGATCATGGAATTGAAGACTGCATTCTCGAGCTTCCTTTTTTTTCCTATGTTACACTGTGATAGTCTTCTCGACTTTTCTTATCAGAAATTGATGGAGCAAATCTTTTGCTAATGGATGCAGTTTCCACTGGTAGCATTGTCAAAAGAATACATCTCATTTGTCCTCCATTTTTGCTATCATTTCTCCTCCACTTGGGTGTGTGTGTGTGTGAAGAGAGTTCCCAACAGTGATCAGCTGGCAAGAAGTAGAAGTGAGGCCTGTCTTCTCCCACCTCACTGTCATCTGAGGTCGAACAGTGTTGGTGGCTTTAGGATGGTTGTTGAGCTCATGAATGTTTTAACATGGGCATCCTTGAGCTAAGGAGCATGTTGGCAGTGGCAAATCATGGTTCTCTCATACTTGCTGTGGATTTAGGTGGCAAGGGAAGACATGATGGATGACAGTGCTTGGTGAGGAGATCATTTGAGTTACAGTTGACATCATAGCTTAAATACAGGAAATCCTTTCTCCTCCGGAATGTAATGTGGCCCCTAATGATTAGAGAAGCCTCAACACAAAGCAATGTAGATCAGGAAGATCTCACCCACAGTCTAACATCATGCAACTTGCCCAGCACTGAGGTCTGCTTCCAGCCAAAACCTGACCAGAGTACTATGCCAAACCCAGGGTGACCATGTTATCCTTTTCCCCAGTACAAAGATCTCAGCTTCTGATTGAAGAAACATGACCCATGTCTATTACCCAACCTTCAGTGTCCTAAGGTTCTGGGGTTGGCCCTCTTCTCATGAGTAGGAAAAGTTGGAAGATCAGCTCTTTTCCTTGATCCTCTCCACAAACATAGAATCTCATGTGGTGATGTCAAAAAATTAAGCTCAATTTTTTTTCTTATTTATCTGTAGAGAACATCGAAAATCGGTTCGATTGACTCGAGTCAAGTTAGGTTGGCCATACATGATGAGATTTGGTCTAGAATGCATGAGAAGAGTGTTTTTTTTTTTTCTTTTCTAATTTATTCTTAAAAATTTCTTCATAGAAAGTGAAAACATTTGAAGTTGTTTTCCCTTCTCCCTCTCCTGAGTTATGTTTGATTTCTTTCTTTCACAATCCAGCTTTGCAGTTGCCCACTCTAAGCAGAAGCTGCTTGACCATTCCTGAAACATATTTGTCAACAACTACTGTTCCCTCAAAGGAAAAGAAAATTACAACAAGTTTTGACACATGAAAAGGAATTCCAAGGCATCAGGTCTCCGGAGTCCTAAGAAAGGATTTCCTTGAGCAACTTCTGATGGTTATGTCCACCATTGTTTTGTTTCTCCATGTCAAAAGACCAGTTGGTGGTGTGCTAGTGGTTCTCTTCTTTCTTTCTTTCTTGTCAACTTTGTCTAGTCTGAGGCCTTCCACACCTACAAATTTGAGTGAGATATTTCCATCGCTGAGTCCAACAGATGATATCAGAGCTGGGATGTGATGAAGACCTAACCAGGTGTTACAAAGAGGCCTCACAGCTCACAGATCTGAATGCCCTCAAACATCAATTTACAAGGCCCACAAGATGAATGATTGAGAGTGGAACCATCACCAATAAAAGTCAGCAACTTTTGCTTGTGGTATATTCAAACGCCATGGATGGAGGTGAGTGTTGCAAAGGACAAGAAAAAAGCAAGGTCCAAGTTAGCAATGGCTAACACCTGTGACATGATCTATGACATATACACAAGGATCCATCCAAGCTTTAAGATGTCAAAGGCAAATTGTGATGGACTTTGATTGGATGGCCTCCCTCTCGGACAACCTAGCCATGCCTCAAACAACAATTTAATAGGGTTGTGTTTGTTTAAATGCTAGCTTTTCTGGTACCTTTGCCACATCACATTGCACACCTATTAGATTTGATGCTCCTTGATTGATTACCTGTGCAGTAGGAGATGTCTCTTTTGGTCTTTGCAGTCTATGCAAATGCTCCCATGGCAGGAAGTGGGAGTCGAAAGGTATGTTCTTTAGCTATTAGGGATTTTAAGAGCTAATCCTTTTTCCTGTGAGGTGAAGTACTTGTATGATTAAAAGGGTTTGCCACTGGACCCTACTTGTGTGGTGAATGGGATCAACTGGTTTAGGGTGTAGGATATATATAGATGGGTCTCAATCAATCGAATGCATCTGGCTCCATTGTGACAATAGCATGAGACTTAGGCCAACCTTTTCTTGACTAATCTGGGTTGGAACAAATTGGGTCAGTGCTAATTATAGAGGATCTAACACATTAGGCAAATTGAGAAGATATTTAAAGAGTTAGATTGACCATAGATCTGGGTATGATTGCTACAATTGCCCTTGAAATCATGATCCTCCCTCACCTTTGCATCCCACAGCAGTGATCAGGTGAACCATCAGTAGTCCATGGTGGAGCCACTCATAATAATGCCTACCCAAACCATAAGCTCCCTATGCTGAATCCAAAAAGTTAGCCAAACCATAAGCTCCCTATGCCTAGCCAAACCAAGATTTCTCATAATGCCTATGATGAACAGTACCCCTTGATAGAAAGGTAAACAATTAATCTTGCTAAATCTTTTTTTTTAACATATGTACCATGAAAAGTTGCATTGTAGTGTTAATGCCTAAGCAGAGTAGCCATTTACTTGTGCCCTTTTTGAGCCACTTTTTCTGTTGCCATTACACTTTGTTCTACATCCACGGAATTAAGTTTGTGAGCGAGAACATAGGTTAGGACTACCAAAATGCCCTTTAGTTTGATAATAGGAACTAAATGAATACATTGTAGGGGTAGTAGGGGTATACATTCTTAAGAGAAATCTTACAAGGATAAGACATGCTTAAGAGAGATTTTCATTAAATTGTTATGATTATCCAGCTTTTCTATTGTAAGGGTATATAATTATTCCGTTAGCTATTTTTATTATTTTGATCTTTACACTTTAAAATATAATATTAACATCCCTATAATTAGAAAAAAGTGAAATATACAAGCTCATTTACTCTGATGCTATCAATTTTACTAACAAAAATATGAAAATAAATAATCAAAATATAATTTTAATATTCTAGTTGGTGGTGGCGAACGGTAACACCGCTGAAGAGGTGAGGATAATTCTATATTTACATCGACATCGATGTAGTTGTCGAGTGACGAAAGAGTTATTGATATAGGTGCCAAGCAATATCGCTCAACAATTGTGTCGATGTCGATATCAATGTCAATGTAGAAGCATAGCAACGTCATTTTGTATTCATATCGATAGCTATTTCGTCATTGAACAACTATGTTAATGTCGATGTAGATACAAAGCAACATCACTCAGCAACTGCATCGATACCGACGTAGATGCTAAGTGACGAAAGGACTGCTGATGTAGATACCGAGCAACTCTTTTATCGCTCGACTACTATATCGATGCCGATGTAAATACAGAATGACCTTCACCTTTCGCTACCACTCTCCTCATCCACAACAGTTACCCACGACCTCCAACGGTATCATCGTCCTTCACCACCAATTGAAATATTAAAATTATCTTTTTTATCCTTTGTTTTTATATCTTTATTAGTAAAATTAATTGTATTAAGATAAATGATTCTACGTATTTTACTTTCGTAATCATAAAAATATCGATATAATTTTTTAAAGTATATGAACTAGAATTCTAAAGGTAGTCAACTATGCAGCCTTATCTAATCTATAATTAGCCTTGATAAATATGATAAAAATTTCCTTTTAAACTGTTGTGATGCTCTGTTTTTTTTAAGACACAGAAACGAATAAGGAATATGTAGGTAGATTCTATTAAATAAAAATGGCAATCACATTTGTCCTTAGCAATAACAAGATGAAATGAAATGTATAATTGAGACAAAAATGAGTATTGATGGACTTGACTTATTTGTAATTAGCCTTATAAAGTTCGATAAAAATTTCCTTATAACTGTTGTGATGCTCCTGTCATTTTATTTTTCTAAGACACTGAAAAGAATAAGAAATATATAGGTGGATTCTATAGGATAAAAATGGCAATTACATTGTCCTTAGCATACATGAGACAAAAAATGAGCATTGTAGGTAGATTCTATTAAACAACAAGATGAAATGAAATGTATACATGAGACAAAAAATGAGCATTGATGGACTTGACTTATTTTGTTGATTTTGTCACAAGACTCTGCGTTTCTCTACAATTCGACATCCTTCAT